GAATTCTAGTTAAAAAAGTTTAGATTCTTTTTCTAAAATTAGATACCATTTTTTTTTAAAATCAAAATTATGGTCCATCTGATTACAGTAAGGACTGAATGAATTGACTGTGTTGTTTTGTAAATTATGTGTGTTTGACAGTCAATTTTCATTGGAAAATAGATCTTTTCACTGATTGTATTTTTATAGCAATCATTCCATTTTGATAGAATAAATTCCCCTTCACCCTCCATATTTTTTTTATTATATTTTGTATATATTGTATTTTATTCTTTTAAATATATAAAAAATTTCATGTTGTGTTTTAGATAAATTCTTTTTGATTAAAAGTTAAAAGAGTTCATATTAACAATTTAAAAATTTTTAAAAAACATCAACAATCAAAAATAAAAAAATTCCTCCCAATAGATAGAATAAAAAAAATCTTGCCATCTCATCACCAATCAATGCTATTTTTATATTTAATAATAATTTTTATAAAAAATTTGGATCAACCAATACAGTTTGTTTTAGTGGGCTGTTTTATTATTTTTTACGAAATTTTTTTGAATATTATAGATCTGGTTAAAATATTTTCCGAAAAGAATATTTATATTTCCAATATACTATCTGAACTCTAATATATTTTTAATTCGATGACTAATTTGTAAAAAACATAGATAAACCAAACAAGTAAAACATATGATAGAATTTATATTTTATGAAATGGAAAAAAAACAATAATTTCCCGGGTTTTTCCTAGATATGATGTTACACCACATTAACAATTTTTAAAACTCCATGTTCGGTTCATATAAAAAAAATCTCATAAAGAGGTTATTCTCACCATAACAACAAAATAAAATCCAGATTAATCATCAAATTCTACTTAAGAGCACACAGTATTTATATAAAAAGGAGAAATACATTGAAAATACTTTTAAGCTCCTTCAATAGCCTAATCATTTCATATTCACTGCAAAACAAAAGTCTCATAAAATATCACAAAATAGATAAACGGACCTTCATGATAATCCCAACAAATCCAAATATATAGTTCTACTCACCAACTCTATCAAAACAACAACTGAAAATAATTTATCTTAACATAAAATTTGTTACATATCGAATCTAATTTTTCAATCTGTTTATATTAGAAAAATTTTCCAAAAGGAGATAGCATTAACGAAATGAAAAAAAAAAAAAAAAATAAAGAAGTATTTCCTATAAACAGATATTTTATAAAGATGCCAAAAACAAAAATAAATTTTTTCAGAAAAACAGAAGAAAAAAAAAAATTATTATGTTTGGAAATATTTAGCCAAACTGAATTTCAAATTTAAATTTATTCAGCTCAGTAGATAAATCAACTTCTAAGATAGGATATGATTAAATATATATCTACATTAAAAATTATTTTCATTTATTTAAAATTGTCTCATTCTATAGCAATGAAAGAAGACAAAGTATCAATTGTTATCTTTATTTCAATTTAGTTTTTGTTCTTGATATATTTATTCTTTTAAATCAAAAGAAAAATTTCATTGATCAGAAGAAACTTAAATTTAACGGAAAATTTTTGACTGTATAAATTAAAACTAGTAATATTTATTTAATTTCATATATTGCTATTTATATTATTCTTTACACTGACAGATATGAATGAATATACTTTAGGTAAAGATACAGACACAAACAGTCTTTTAAGACAATCTCTATAACTGTTTAGCATTGTATAAAGAAAGATGTATTTTGTATAAAAAAAAAACAACAGAGATTTTAGTTTTGTTCTTGGATTCATTTGACTGGTCATAATCTGAAAAAAAAAAACCAAATGAATTCAAACGGAAACTAGAACATAAATGGTATTTACAAATTACATTTTTCAAAAATTTAATGTCAACATAAAAAAAAACCAAAGTTTAAATTGTTTTTCATTTAAAAAAAAACAAAAGATAACAGGACATGTAGACATATGCATCAAGGTATGCATATACATTTTACCTAATACGAGAACTTATATTGCATATAAACATTTTAAATATTTTGATGGTAAATAATATTTTAATAACATTTTAATAGTATTGATGGTAATATTTTTCCAATTTTTTAGTCTATCCTTGTTAAGAAATAATATTTGTGTAAAAATATTTTAAAAAGAAATTTTAATTTGGACAAAACTAAACTTTGGAATCCATATATAAAGTACAATGTGAAATATATATATATATATATATATATATATATATATATATATAAGAGGTTTATTGAAAAAATTTTAATTTTATAATCTTTTCTTTGTGCAATAAATATTTCGTCAATGGCCGTTCAAAAAACTTAATATATAATAAATATCAATTTTATTGCCAATATTGGTATCATTTTTCTTGGCTTTTTATTCTTCAAATTTTATATATTATTTATTATATGAGATTAAAACAAAAACATGTTAAAAATTGCTACACATTCGTCTTTTGTTTCATGTTTAAGCACTCAAATTGTGCATCCTTAAATAAAAAACTGCTGAGTAAAAAATTATTTTTTAAATTTCAAAACCATGATAATAAATAAAACAAAATTAAAATGAGTTCTTTCTTGAGGTTTACCCTGATTAACAAATTTAGGTGTCAGATGTTACACTAAAACGGCCTTTTTTTTGATCATGGTAAAATGTCTGGAAAAAATAATCCTAGACAAGGTAATGAGTGCCAAAGAAATTTAACGAAAAACTATCTGCAGGTGGCAACTGTTATCAAAATTAATGAAACAAATGTAACTTGTCCAATTTTATAAGAAAATCTGCGAGACTAGGATAACAATCAAACATATAGACAGTAGAATTATACTGCATTTAATTCTTATCTCTATCTAAAAATCTCTCTATAAATATATATATATAATAAAAGTATATATATATTATATATATATATATATTTGTATAATAAGGCACAATAATCTTTTTTAGGCACATGTTAATACTTCTGGACTCTGTCAAGGCTGGGAACTTTTAAGCAATTTTTAGCGCAGATATGAAATATGCGCAGATTTAAGTAATTCTCTTTTTTGTTCAATTGTCCAGAAAAGAAAGTTCTGTCCAGAACATGATGAAAATTAAATAAAAAGCTAAACTCTCTGAGTACCTTTGTTAGAAATTTTTTTAACGTGGAACCAGCTTTAAATATATATGGATAATAAGGTATATATCCGGGGTGGTTGATAATAAAGTGATCTTAGCTACGGGCAAATAGTGAATAAACACTATAAATATAAAAAATATTTTTATATTATAAATATAAAACATTTTTATATAAATATATACCAACAATATGTATTTAGGATAGAATTACTGCCAAATTACATTTAAACACTGGTTCCAACAATAAATTTAAGCAAATTGATCCTGAATCAGTACCTAGATGGGTGACCATTTATCATACCAATGTTTGTATTTAGATGTGCAGGTGGTGTAATGGATAATACTCAGAATTAAAAAACTGAGATATCTGTCTTCAATTCCAGTTGGATTATTATATTACTAGTATTATTTGGGAAACATTATTCGGACTGTCTTCCTCATATAAAGATGGGTTAATTATAGGCGTTTGTATCGGTAAATAACCAATCAAAAAAAAAAAATTCATAAAATCTAAAAAAATTAGTTTCTGGCATTTAAATATATATATATATATATATAATATATATAAACAAATCAATATATATATTGATTGGGATATAGTATCTATAAATATGTTAACAATGCAGAGACACTCGGCTTTAAATTTAAATTTTGTCATCCAATGCATCAAGACAATTAGCTTAGCCCATCTTATTCAGATAATTATTTTTTACCACAATTCAGTGTACAGTGTATCCACAGAAGTTTTGTGATAAAAAGAGCTTAGAATGAAATGCATTATTTTATAATATATTATTTTTCATTTTGTCATTCAAAGTACAGTATGTGTAAATATATTTTGGTGTTTTAATGCCAAAATTAATAAGTGAATAAGTCTTTTGGTAAATATGGTGACATGACACATGTTTACACTAGAAATATAGGAATCCCTCAATTAGTGTGACTAATTTGTACATTGCTAACTAAAAAAAAAAATTTTCATTTGCTATGGTTAAACTGAAGTATGTTTTACCACACTGATCAAGTATTATGTATGCACTAATCGAATTTTAGGATACAAAAATTTTAACACACTAATCAAAAACGTGTTATTTGTAAGTACATTAATTGAGGGATGCCTGAATTGTTTTAAAAAAATTTTTAAACTTCAATTGGCTCGGCTCTATAGATAAAAAAAAACTTCCCTGTTTTTAACGTTTTAAAAGAAGATATAATTAAATATATCTATAGATAAAATATTAATTTCATTCATTATAATTGTTTTCATATATAGTAAAAGGGGACAAGACAGAGGCTCAATTGTTATTTTGACTTAATTTTACTTAGTTTAATATTCAGGAAATATTGTACATAAACACGAAAATATAGAGCAACATAAAGTTTTTTTGATTTTATGCATCTATCGCCTGGGGACAGGGCAAACAATCAGTTATTATCTAAATTTTACTCTAGTTTAATATTCAGGAACTATTGAATGCAATAAAATACAGAGTGACAAAATTTTGGATATTTCCTGAACAGTTGTAAAATGACTTAAATATGCAGTTATTTTTTGACAGCACAATTAAACTAGTCATCATAATTGAAGATGTAATGAAATGTTCTTTAGGGTTCTTGAGAAAATTAAGCCCCAGAATAATCACCTTAATAGCTGTGTTGACTGCAAGCGAGTCTTTCTACATTGTAGAGATCAGCACTCGGTTCTTCAGGTAAAAATGTTAAATAGTAAGTGTGATAAAAGAGAAGGTCATAAAAATCTACAATCGAATATTTTGATGCATAAATAGTCATGTAAATAAGAACAACAGGAAAGCTGAGTGAATTTTCTATGCAAATATCAAAAGGTGTTTGAAAATTAAAAGAAATTAACAATAAAAATTCTCACAATTTTCAACATGATGGTAAATGGACCATGAGTTGTTTGTGCTTTTAACAAGGACAGGCCAAGAAAAGTTTTTCTCCATTGAGTAGTATCACATGGCAGGAACATATGACAGGTATGTCTTAGGCGTTGAAAAAAACACAATATAAACCAGGTGAGTGTGATTGAAGAATAAGCAGGAAATACAGGGAGAGAGAGAGAGTTTATACATGCAAGTGTCATTCAGTGGTATGAAAGGAGGAAGGTGAGACAGGGAGAAGAAGGTGGCTGGTTAGTGCTGACCACTTGGGGGATTCTTTGGCTTATTCAGAGATTTAAACAGATGACAGATTGTGTGCGAATGTGACAAGCATGTTGATGCATGTATAGAGAGAAAGAGAGTGAAAGAAGAGTGAAAGGAGAAGGTGGTGGTATGAGGAAAAGAAAAAGAAAGACTGAAAATAAGAAATAAAAGTGTGAAAGAGGAGGTAAAAGAGAAAAGTGAGAAATTAAAAAAGAAAGGAGAGAGATAGGAAGATAGAGAAAGAAAGGGTAAGAAAACCATAAGAAACCGAATGTGAAGGGAAGAGGAGAGAGAAAAGAGGAAGGAAAAGAAAAAAATGCAATAAAAGAAAAAGAAATGAATGAAATAAGGAAAGAAAAATGTGAGGATAGCAGCTGAAGGAAGAAGAAAAAAATGGTGATGAGAAAGCGAAGGAAAGATAAACTGACTGAGAATTGAAAAGTGAACCAGAAAGAAAGGAAAAAGACAGAAAGGAACAGAAAATGGCAGAAGGAAAAAGAGAAAAAGGAAATGAGAAACTAAATGAAAGAAAAAATGACTTAGAAATGAAAAGTGAGCAAGAAGGAGAAGAAGATAAAATAGCAGAAAAGAAAAAGGAGAAAGGAGAAAAAGAAAAAAACAACTGAGAAATGAAAAGTGAACAAGAAGAAAAAAAAAAGAAAGATAAAATAGCAGAAAAAGAAAAAGGAGAAAGGACAGATGAGAAAGTGAAGGAAAAATGACTGAGAATTGATAAGTGAGCAAGAAGGAAAAGAAAAAGAAATGAAAAGAAAAAAAACAAAATGGAGAAAGGAAAAGAAAACAAAAAGAAAAAAATGAAAAAGAAAATAATATTTAGACATAAAAACCAGTTTAAATGTATTAAAGTTTTTATCAAAATATTTAGATCATACAAACAGATAAATCCCATGTCTGTGTCTCTCTATAGTATGCCCCTTTAAGGGAAAGGTGGCCATGGCACTCCACAATTTCCTTTTGTTTGTCGACAACTCAGCATCAGAATGATTGTAAAAATAATTTTCATTGATAAAGAGACTCTTGGACCAATTTTGCATTATGCAAAATTACTTTTTGCAGTATGTGTCTTCTTGTATGTGCCATGTCCCTTCAGGATGTTGGTAATCATGGCTCTCCACAATTTCCTTTCCTTTGTAGCTCTTAATAAATTTTGTCTTTTATGTTATCTCACTTAAACCTTGTTCCATTATCCATTTACTCAAGCTAGTTAGCTAGGTTAAATTATTTTTTTCTCTGGCTCTCTTACCTTCAATCTGCCCTGTGAGTATAAAATTTTCCAAGCCCCCTTTCTTCATTATGTGCCCTACAAATTTCAACTATTTCTTTCTGGTGTTAAGTATAAGTGTCTTTTTTGCTTTCATTTTCAATAACATTGTTGTTGTTCACATATTCAGTCCATGGTATTCTCAGCATCCTGCTGTAGAACAACATTTCTGTTGCTTCAAGTTTCTTATTCATCTGTGAGGAAATTGTCCAGCATTCACTGGCATGACAGACATTAATTAATAGTTCAGTACTCTTTTCTTTGTTTCTAAGGAAATTTTTCTGTTTCTTAATACTTTGCTTAGCTTTTAAAAGGCACCTTTTACTATCACAATGTGTTTTAAAAGAAAAAGAAGACAAAGAATTTGAACTCCAATGGAGGACTCCATGTGGGAATCCCTTGTATGGGATGCCAAGTTACTACATGAAAATGGAGCTGGGCTGGAGCTACCCAATCTTCACTTGCCTGTATTGACAGAGTTCAAAAGCATCTACACTGTCTTGTGGGTAATGAATTATTTTTCACCCTACAACCCCTTTCCCACAGAAAAAAAATGTTGCAAAGCTCTCACTATTCTCTATTGCCATTTCCATGTGTTCTAAATTAATTAAATTCTTTTGTTCCACCACCACTGACCTTTACAACTGGGACTCACCACAAGGCATACACAAGGGTGAATCTTCCCCATTCCTTTTGTATTCCTATAGTAAGGAGGAAGTTCCATTTGCAGAACTGCTGATTTGTGGAACAGACTTTTAAAATAATGTTTTCTCAATACTATACAATCTTGGCCTCTTCAAGTTAACCATTAATTTTTCCTGTCAGTAAAAAACAAAACTTCACTTCTTGCCCTTTTAAGACTTTCCACAACATAGTGACCCAATTACCTTGAGTGGCTCTTTGGCAGCAAAAGTGAGAGAACCAGATTAAACAAGAAAGAGAAACTTGGAATTGGGTTTGCTAGTGAAAATGTCATGGTTTCCAAAAGCAATACCAGTTGTAAAACAAAATTTTACTAATTTATATATTATTGTATTTTCAGGAAGAACTAGACTGACTATTACATTGAATAGGGTGCAACATCTTCATAAGAAATCACCAATATATAGCAATGAAATTTGGAAATATATATATTTTTTTAATCAATTCACCCAAAGCAATGCCACTTAGATGCTAGGGGCTACTGGGAATGAAAAAGAATGAAAAAGATTTTAGAAGAAACCAAAAAAAAATTTTATCAACAAAACAAGAGATAAACTTCTCTTGTTCAATTTGACTGTGGATTTTTTCTTGTAAATGAAGATGACAGACAAACCTATCTACTCCTATTAATATTTACTAGGTTTTGGGGTTAGGGTTCGCAAATAGTTGCACCAATAGGATGCCCAGCCTCCTTTTTAAAATCTGATTTTCTTTAAATGTTTCTTGGTAAGGTTGTCAAACTGAGAACTTTTCAGTACTCCTGTGTATGTGATTGAATTGACATAAAATATTATATAAATATGTACATGCTAGATACATATATATGTGTGTGTATGTATATTATCTATAAATATATATGCATATATGTACAAATTATCTACATGTATGTGTATTTTATATATATGTGCACATGTCTATAGAAATACTGTGAGAAGGAAAATCTGAAAAATTTTAAAGGAAGAAAATAAAAATATATAAAATAGTAAATTAAGAAGAGAAACGCAAGGTGTGAACAAACATTCCTGGTTATTTGATAAAAAGGTGGGAACACTTCCAGGTTGTATTCGAAATTGCAATTTTGGATAAGCCAAGCAAATACAGCACAAAAAAAAACTATTAACCCCTTAGATCCTCCTCCTTTAACCACCTTATCAAAAAAAAAAAAAAAAGAAAGAAAGAAAGAAAAAGTTCCTCACCTCATTTATGTCTTGTTGACTCCGTTTAGTAACCATCAAACCAAAGGAAGAATTATCTGGACCTTCATCAGAATGCCACTCATCCTCTGAAGAATCTTCTAGAAAGAAATTAAAGAAAAAAACAAAAATTACACAAGAATAAATACAAGGGGATGTGGAAAAGATTCTGGACTGTGAAATATTTTGATGTTCGGTCAGATTTTGGGAAGTGGGTTGAGCCAAGGACATTTCAGCACCCCCCCCTCCCTATATAAAGTTTGAGAAAGATACAGATGTAGATGTCACAACAGATAGATAGATAAAAATAATAAAGAGAGTGATAAGAACAGACTAAAAAACATTAATTGAAATTTATAAAAAGATGCGAATGAATTAAAACAATTATGACAATACACTATGTTAGATTTTATTATGCAAGTCAATGTTTTTACACTAAAACTAATAATAGCCAATATTTTCTTAATATATTTATATAATGAATATACAATATTAATTTCAGTCTATAATATCCTTTGTTTTTAAAAGAAATATTTACAATAAAGTATTTCATAGTGTGAGATTTAATTATCCAATGCAAGGTTTGTTTATCATATTGTAAATAAAAGAAAATGATGAACCCTGTAATTGTTTAGTGTTGTAGATGCACAATATGTACTGCAGCTGTAAGAAGCTTGGGTTTGGCTTGCAAATGCTAAAACAGAGCAAAATCCTTTGTTCAGATATTTCAAAAAAATTCAGAGCCCAATTTGCCTTAAATTTACAATTCAAAAATAGAGTTGTTTGAAAAAGCTGGTTTTATCATGTTGAAATTTTATTTATTTGCCTAAAGTCAGTCATTTATGCACCATGCGTGATGCATGTTTGCAAAATTATTTTCATTTCAATACATGATGTTGATGAGGCATATATTTGAAATTCCAAATAGGTTTCCAAAATAATGAAATAGTTAGACCAATTGCCATACAGAGGCTATAAAACCCAGTCTTTTTACTATTTATCCTGTTGAGCTGGGGAGAGAAAAGAGGGTTCATTTGTTTTAAAATTAAGGGTTTTTATACAAAACATGAATGTAATGGGTTCAATTGAATTCAAAAAAATCAGCTCTTATTTTAGAAATCTGATCGCTATCCATTCAAAAACATGCCTGTTCCAGTTTACAATTCAACATTCAGAGTTGTCCTTTTCCCAGACTAGTTGTCACTCAGATCAAGAGATCTTTAAAGCAAAGTGTATAATTATGGTAGACAATATTCTTGAGCATTCAGAAATGTTTTAAATTTTCCATTTCAAAGGAAGTCAAAGACAAAAATTAACTGAATAATTCCAGCCTCTTCACTAAACTAAAATGAAAACTTATTGCTCCATCATTAAAAAAGATTCATATGAGAAAAACGTTAATATTCAATAAAAAGAATTTGTCAAGAAATATTAAAACCTTTGCAAATTTGAAAGAATAGAAAAGTTAATAAAATCAATGAATGAATAATTATCATTTGAATGAAATAAAAGTTGGATGTTTGAGAAATTCAGGAAAATTTCCCAAATGAACAAAAATATATTCAATTAAATTCAGATCTTCAAATTTTTAGAATTTTAATCTAATTTTTTTCATTAGTTCAAAATTTTTCAAGTTATGATCATTTAATCAAAACTCACGTATGTTTAGGCATTCAGATAATCAGTTCTGGATAGTTGCTTTTGCCATCATTTTTTGCCAGCAAAGCCATTGGGATTTTGTTAAAATGAATGTAATAAGTGACATATAGGTTTAACTTGACACTCTTTTTCAAAAATGACCAATATAAAAATGGATATTGTGGCCCTATAATACAAAATTCAGTCACATTTTAAAGATTCTTGAAAAAATCCAAAGAAGAATCTGCAATGTTATTGGTCCTGATCTGGCATCTCAGCTTTTGTCATCAAGAAAATGGCCATAAGTAGAATTCATTAATGTATTTTTAGATATAAATATTTAGTTTTAATGGTTCTGATGAAATTTTTCTACTTGGTTTTATTTCTTTTGAATTTCCACAGAACTAGAAGAAACAATTCAAATCACATCATTTTACAGTTGAATTGAATAGATTAACTCTTAAGTTTTTTAATTAAAGTTTTTTTCTCGCAGTTTACCTTTGCAAAATTGATTATTTTTGCAGCTTCTTGCAGACACAACCCAACTTCAATCTTCAAAAAATTAAAATTTGTAATGTCAATTGTTATCTTCCATCTCCTTGATTTGTGATTTTTTTTTATTTTTTACACATGGATTAATGTTTTTTATTTTTTTCTTATAAAACAATTTATGTCTTTTTAAAAAATTGCTTTGTTTTGGGGTGAAATGATTAAAAAAAAATTAACACTTTTTGCCATATTTTGCCTGTTTTTGTCTCTGAGCACCAAACTTTGAATAACCTTAACAAAAAATGCCTGAGACAAAATTTTTCCCCTTTAAGTTTAAGTTCTGAAATATTAAAACAATTTAAATTTGCAAAATGACAGAAAATTGTTCCCAAGAACATAATCAATTTCTTTCATATGTTAAATTGATCTTTACCTGTTTTCATTAAAATTATTCTGAATAATGAATAGGCACATTTTTTTTTTTGCATTTTTTAAAATCATTTCACCTCAAGCAAGGTGGGAGTGCTACTAGTATACAGGGGGTTACAGAGAATGAAAATGAGAGAAAAGACTGGGTATGGGGGGGTGTTGAGGAAAGGAAAAAGAAAAGATCAAAAAATGGGGTTGAAGTTGCATTTAAATTTTTTGAAGATTATAGTTATCAGGGAAGCAAGTAAAGGAAGGGAGTTCCATTGTTGGGAAGTGTGAGAAAAGAAACTGTTGGAGTAAAAATGGTGGTTACATTTAACTATTTCAACAGTAAAAGAGTGGGACCTAGATGCCAATCTAGTAGCACACTTAAATTCATGTAGTTGGGGCACCAGGGAAAAAAAGCTTGTCAGAGCAGTTGCCATGAAAATATTTGTAGAAAAGACAGGGGGAAGCCACATCACGTCTGTGAGAAAGTGACTGAAATCAGTTACATTGCAGATCCGTCTTTGAATTTTGTCAAGAACCTTGAGATGAACAGCAGAGGCACCAAACCAGATATGGCAACAGTTTTCAATGCATGGACAAATGGTAGATTTGTAAATGTGCAAGATGGGATCTGAAGTGAAAGACCTTCTGGCACGACACATTGAACAAATTTTCCTTGCAGTAGATACAGCTATTGTTCAATATAGTTGTACCACTTCAAGTCAGTTGAAAACATGAAAGGCGCACTGAGATGCTCTCCATGAGTCTAGCATCAGCCATGCTGATGGTGGGCAGGAAAGTTTCTCTATAGTGGTTAAATGAGAGCAGTTTAGTTTTGGAGGCATTAAAATTTACAAGCCATTTCCTGTCCCAGTTAACCACTGATTGGAGGTCCTTTTCAAGAGCAGTGGCCAAGTTAACTTTGTCAGGACTGGCAGAACTGCTATTGAGACAGAAATAAATGGTAGTGTCATCAGCATAGATACATACTTTGGAACTGATAGAATCAGGAAGATCATTGATGAAGATTAGAAACAGCATAGGACCCAAGAGAGAGCCTTGGGGGACATCCGTGTTTGTGTGAAAGGATCTGGAAGTGAGCCCATTCAGAATTACCTCTTCATTTAATGATTTCAGAGGAATGATTGGATTAAATCAAACAACTGTCCTGTAATACTGTAGCCCTGAAGATTATGTAGAAGACCAGCATGCCAAATCCTGTCAAATGCCTTTGAGATACATAGAGCCACAGCTCAAGCTTTGCCATTATCAAGAGTTTGATAGACATATTCAGTGAGTCTGTTCCACAAAGCAGCCATTATTGGAAGTAGCTGCTCAAGTAGAACTTTCTTCTTGCTAATGGAATATGAAGGTGATGAGAATAATTCAACCCTGTTTATGCAACGTGGTGGGCCTTAGCTGTAAAGGTCTGAACTGCTGGTACTAAAGAATGGAATGCTCATCTGATCATTTTCTATGGAAATAGCAATAGAGCAGCAAGAGACTTGTGATATTTTCTCTGCGAGGAAAGGGGTGGTAGGATAGAAAATAATTCATTGTTTACAATATTGTATAAATGCTCATGAACTCTGTTAAGGCTGGAAAGTGCTGATTGGTCTGCTCCATCCCAGATGTGGCAACAATATTTCATTTTGTGTCTGATTTGACTCTTCTAAAGATAGAGCATGCCAGGAGGAGCCAGATACTTTCTGGAACAGTACAAGGAAACAACCATTTTTCCACAACATATTTGGAACATGATTTTGATAATTGTTTCATTTTATTTTTATTTTTTTTTGCCCTACTACTTTCAGATTCTGAGAAGATTTTGAAAAGTTTTCAATATAACCCATTTTCCAAAATCTAACATTTTTTTTCTTTGGGGGTGAGGGAAAGTTCTTGGTCAGACAGAGAACTTTTCAACACCTCTTTGTATATATCTATATGGCATAAAATGATTATATAAATTTTTATAAACCAGAACAATGTTATTTTAATTAATGACAAAATGGATTGTAACCCTCAATATTTATATGAAGAGGAGAAATACATTGAAAGGATATTCAAGCTCTCTTAATACCCTCTTATTTCATATTCCACATGAAAGAAAAGGCTCTTAAAATATTTCAAAATAGGCCATTCAGAAAAATTCAATGATTCAAAATATATTATTTTACCCGCCAATTCTAGTGCAACTACAATTAAAAAGAATTTATCTAAGCTTAACATAAAATTTGTTACAACTGCTTCTAAAACAATAAGACTTATTACAAGACAAAATAATAAATAGCAAAAATCTGAAGAAGGAATTTACTCTATCACCTGTAATAACATGCTATATTTATAAACAAAAGTGCTCTTCAGGTCTAAATATCAGGTTCAAGAATGAAACAGACTATTGCCTCTTAGTGTAGATCTCTGTGTCCACTCTTATATTTATAAAGAGGTCATTTTTTTCTTATACAAATTAACTGAAGTCTAGTGCCTGAGTATTGTCTCTCAGACAGCACCAATATGTTATGCAAAGATGAGTATGGTAAAAAAACCACATTTTAACCAAAGAAAAACACGCCTAATGTTGATATTGATTTTTAATATAAATAAATATAGCATAACATATAACTATTTTTTTATCATATATATATATATATATATATATATATATATATATATAACCTAAAAATAAGTAACACATACAATGAATACATAATTTTAAACCTCAATAAAATTTAAATAAAAGATTATATGAACACAAAAGGGATCATTTTACAAAACATCACACTAAATATTTCTCACTGTAATGACCATAATTTTGATTAAATAATTGGTTTTTTATAAATAATTGGTAAAAATAAATATCTCAAAAAATGTTTAAATGAAATTAGACTATATACTAAAAACCTATATAAAAAAAAAAAAATTTAATTTAAAGGTTTTAAACAATAAAATTTCATGTGTATGTATCACATCATTTATAAAACATCACAAAAGGATCTTTTACAAAACACACAATTTTTTTAAATGCAGGAAAAATTAAATGAGTCTGATGTCCATTTTATAAATTTTAAAAAATGCTACTTTAATTAAAAGGGGAAACAAATTTACTAAGGTGAAATTTTAATAAAATGTGAGATTTTAATCTCTAATCATCCATAAAAATTTTAATATTTAAAAATTTCAAAAAAAAAAAAAAATTTGGGAAAAAAAAAGTATTTTTTTAGGTAAGCATAGGTAGTCATATCAATGTAAATATCACTTTAGTCTGATGAAGTCCTAAAGGATGAAATGCATTACATGACACATTTTTCAACTTTGTCATTAATATTCTTAATATATCTATATCTATATATGTAATCATTAGTGAATAACTTGGAGTTAAGAAGACAAGTGATGTATCCATGAAACAGCATTCAGTTTGTTTGAAAAAAACAAAATTTGCAAATAAGAAATTAATAATAGAGTTACAGTGATACTAAATTGAAATAAAATTAGAACAATGTTATTTATTATAAATCTTTTTTAAATTTTTTTAATAGGTTCTAAACATATAAACATTTCAGGAATTTAAAGTTTATGGACCTCCACAATTGCATTTTGTCTTTTGTAACAATTTCATATAATTTTTTATCTTTCATTAATTCAACATCCTAATGTAAAACATCATTTATGCTAGCTTACAAAAAAAGGTTAATTGATTTTTATTTAATTTCTCTTATCTTTTTCAATTTGTCAAAAATTTGTCAAATTCTCCAAAAATCTTTTTTCATTATGTAAAAGAAATTTAAATTAAAATTTTTTTTTCTGATTATATTTAGAAGGGTTTTTTTTTTAGTCCCATTTTTTTAAATAGTATAGAAAATATCATTTGATCCAAATTTCTTCATCAGTCTTATGAACAGGAATAGAACAAGAGTTCCTCATTTCTTTTTGGAAATTCTTTCACTATTATTATTTTGGTGAAGAAAAATAATTATGATAAAATGGAATAAAATTATATCATAAAAATATAGTTTCATATGTCAGTTTAGTTAGATTTGAAATTATTATATCAAAAATTCAGACATGATACTTTTATGATACAGCATTCAGATGAAGGTGTTGACATTTAATATATATATAAATATATAATATATACAATATATGTCATATATATATATATATATTTATATATATGAGTTGTTTTTTATAAGATAAAAAAATTTTTGATAACAGTCATTAATTTACAAAATGGAAATTTTGAAGATGATAAATGTATACCTATATTTACCTGTTAATATATATACAGTTACATACAAACTTCAATTACTTAAAAGTTTTTTTGACAAATTCTGCAAAGATAACTGAAGGAATAGAACAAAATCCTTGATTTAAAAGAAGGAAATTTTCATCTAAAAACAAGTCAATTATAGGCCAAAGGAAAAAATAAAATAATAGAAGTTGATATTGGGATAAAAACAACAAAGATAAGGACACCAATTTAAGTAATGCATCTCAAAAGTTTAGAATCTCAATTTCAAAGAAGATTGTCTGTAAGATCAGTTTCCTAATAAATGTAATTCTAAAATTGTCATGAACGTCAAAATTTGACTGATGATGATGATACTTGAAACTTTGTTAACCAAACATGATGATGATGATAAAAATATTAAAAAAAAAAAAAAAAGATTTTATAATGAGAATAAAAATATTTTTTTCTTTATATTTAAACTCCACAAGGACAGCACCTGAATTTTACGATGAGAATTTAATTTCTCTCTTAAATAAGTACAGCTTGATCAGGGCTATTTTTAACGTTGACTTGTTTTTTTTTTCTTTGCCTCCCAGATGAAGACAACAAAAAACAAAATGGCTAATTAATTTCTATAACAAGTAGTTCCTATAAAAACTGACAACTTTGTAAAAACAATTCCATTATTTTAATGGTTAACACTAAGTTGATTTAATATTATTAAAAGAACAACCATACAACAGCAGGAGTAACATCAGTAGCAGCAGGTAAGGATATTACAAGCAGCAGATACAAACAGAGTCAAAGAGTTTTGCTTTTGCTCTTTTTTTCTTGGTTTCCTTCACTATGATAAAAATGACATTTGCTTTTATATAAGTTTAATCAAACTGGTTTCAAGTATGAAAGTGATTAAAAAAACATTAAAAAATAAAAAAAACATTAAAAATAAAAACAACATAAAAGATATCTGATGTATTATATATATATATATATATATATATATATATATATATATAAAAGTGAACATTGAAGTCAACAAAGAGGTGACAGGCTGTTTCATGCTGGATGAATCTGATCAGGCCGTGAATGCTGGATATTTCTTCGCTATTTTATATATTTGGGTCAGTGGTGCATTGTGAGTAATCTGGTGGTTATTTTTACGTGAGTGTCTTGCTTGTTTATTTATTTATTTCAGTCATATATGAGACAAAATTAATGTTCAAAGACTACTTGCAGAAAAATGTTTCAAATTTTTGTCCCATCCATACATACATATTATATATATATATATATATATATATATATATACATATATATTTAGAACCCGATTGTTAGATTTATTATAAAAAAATATACCATTGCTTATATTTTAGAAGCATTCTAAAATAAAAGAGTTTAAATATTTTGCAGAAAATTAAAGAAAAGTAAACCCAAGGAAGGAAATTAGACAACCACATGCGGCAAGGATTGACCAGAGTGAATGGTTTCCTTTTTTTTTGGTCAAGGTGTAAATGACAGCATGATCTACAGCAATAGGTTCCGTTGGGATTTGAAACATTTTAAACTAAACTTATTCTGACCCTGAAGATTTCAAGGGAGTCGATGACCCCATTCAACCCATAATGGGAAAAAAGTTAGTATTTTGAAAATTGACCAAACATGACAAGAAGAAAACGGAAAAGAATAGTGAAACGAAAAAGTGTCTTCGCCAGGCCTGTAGGCTTGGCTGGACATTTGGCAAATGAAAAAGATAGATATGGACAAAAAGATTTTTTAAAAAAAAAATAAATGAGGAGAATTGGTCTCCAGTTGAATGGATGGATAATTTTTGATGGTAGTTTTGGAACGCAAAAAAAGAGAAAGAAAGCAGTTTCAACTGTTTAAACAAAGAGAGAGGAAAAGAAACAAAAGAAAGAACAGATCATAATTAAGAATATGTCATACCAAGATGAAAGAGAGAGAAACATATTTTCTGCTTCATCATCAGCCGAGCCCCTAGACGCCAAATATATGCTCATAGGAATTAAGAGAATACCTCAAAAAGAGACTCTGAAAAAAAAGAAATAGAAAAGGAAAAAAAAAGATAAGACTAAGAGACATTGTTAGTGATATAAAAGGACTTTATTATTCTGAATTAAGTTTATTATTTTCTTGTACCCCATTTTGTTTTAAATGTACCTCATTTTTCGTATTTGTACTTTTATGCAAATTTAGCATGAAATCTTTTTATTATATGTTTCTTTCCACATTGTCTTAAAATGTTGACAATTTTGGATTTTTCCATGCAGGTATAGCACATGTTCTATAAATTCATTTAAGTATTGGCACAAGGAAATATATTTACTTTTTTTATTTTTACTTTTCTTAGAGGAGGCTCTCCTCCCACTATTTGTCCTCAGTGTTTGAATGTTAAGTCTTGACTCTTGACATATCGTCATTTTTGTTTTGGCCTTTTTTTTTTATTTTTATCTTTTCCACGATTTCATGTTTGTTAATAAATTTATATTTCCTGTCTCCATTGTTGTCACCTATCATGTTTGTTCCTTAATCGATTCCGCTCGGCTGTGTCTGATCAATTGGAAAGATTTTTTGGGAAAGAAAAATATTTTACAAAAAAAATGTAAAATGTTAAAAAAAAAAATAACACAGATTATGACCTCATCTCTAGATTTTGCTATCGATAAGGTTGAAGAAAGGAAGGAAGGAAGGAGATGGGGGTTCGTAATAATATATATATATATATATATATATACACACACACACCAGGTGTAACAGCAAAATTGTCTAAATCATGTAAAAGTGAAATTGTCCATTTGTTAGATTAAGCTTTGAACTGTTGTATCTTAGAAATGATTAAAGATATTTTACGGGAATTTTCTAATATTTTTATAACACTATTGGACTCTACTTTGAGTAATAAGAATGTACAATTAGTCTCCAAGTTTAACAAAAGAATCATTATGAAATCAATCATAAACAAAATGAAATGTTCATTAATTAATCATATTTATTCTTAAGGATGGAGGCTAATGAAGGACTGAAAGAAAGTTCAAATATATATATATATATATATATATATATATATATATATATATATATATATATATTATTTCAGGATCATTTTCCAACTTATTCAAGATGATTTTGCCCTCACTAACCTTTAACTTTCTGTCCTGGTATAACAACGTACCACACACGTTTTACATATGATTTCATTTTCAAGTCTTTTTTCACTGCTCTTTGGACTGTCATCGATGAAAATACTCTCTCACATGCCAAATGTCTGAGGTAATAAGTTGGATCTTTTCTAATTGATCTCTTGACCTTCTGATTCAGTTTTCTTCTCTACTGTTCCTCTTTTTTAAACTTATTCACTGTTCTCTTCATGGTTCTTGAATGGACTTTGAAGATGGAAGCCAGAGTGTGAATGTTGGTACCATTACTGAAGGCCTCTCATCATTGCTCAGTTGGGAAGACATAATGGGGCTGACACAAAATGATTTTAACCTGTTCTCTTTCTAGCGGAATAACTCAATGGGTTTTCAGGGATTCTTATGACAAATGGTGTCAAGATGGCTAAATATCTTATCTGAAAACCTGGAAAAAAGAAACTCAGTTTAGTGTTTTTTTAGATATTAAACATTTTGTTGGATGGACATTTATGTTGTTACTTACACATGAAAAAGTATAGATGTATTTTCACCAAGAATTTTCCTAAATTGTGAATATGGAGAGATGTCAGATCCATCATTCAAATGAAAACTCAACCTTCAAGACAATGTAATAGTGGTATTGTTACAAGGATGCATTTCTATAATATGAAAGTCTCAAATCCGAATTTTGGCAATCCGAATTTTCTTTCTAGAATTGTCAATGCCAACACACAAACAGAATGTCTCATATCGAGAATATTCCACATTGAACATGAAGAAAAAAATTAATTATTTTTAATAATATGTAAAATCTCCACTTTCACCTGAAGACGGTTGCGAGACCAGACCAGAAACACGTGTCGTGAAATTATGTAAAACAAAGTATAATATTTTTTTCTCAATAAATCCACATTACAACCAAAAACGTTTGCTTCACTTTTCTTCTTTTTAATATACATACTTTTCTCTCGTTGGAACCACTACAACATATATTTATATATATATATATATATATATATATACATAAATTGGATGAAAATTTTCTTTTTATTTACTTGACATGTAAGAGTGAAATTATTTTTTGGGGAAAAACATTTTTAAAAAAAAAAAAAAATCAACATTTTTAGTTGCTTTGTAAATGTTTAATATATTTATATGTTTTTTATATAATATACATTATATTTAATATCCATGGATATTTAATATATTTACCTAACTTTAACTTTAATACCTAATTCCTGCTGTTCTGCTATTATCTCTTCAAGAGTCAAATCAGACCAAGAATGGAGTTTTGCTGCCATCTCTGGGCTGGTGCTGTCCTGTCCCCGCTGCTCAGCTTTGACAGAATTCAAAAGTGATTGTGCAGCCTTGTGAGTGATGAAATATTCTCCACCCTGCAAACCTTATCCTAGAGACAAAACGTTGCTAGCCTCTCACTAATCTATTATGGCAGATGTTCAGACATCTCTTCACCAGCTCAGACCTTCACGGGTAGGACCCTCCACCATGCCATATTCACAGTAATGAAACCCATCCCTCTTCATGTTCTTTTGATAAGGAGTAAGTTCCACTCAGATGACTTCTTCTGCAGAACTGTTAATTTGTGGAACAAACTCCTGAGAGGATGCTTCCCTGACCATTACAATCTTGCTTGCTTCAAGTTCAGGATCATCCAGATATCTATCCTACACATAATGTGCACTTCTTACCTCCTCCTACAAATTTGGCTGATCAAACAGTATTAATCTCTCTCTCTCTCTCTATATATATATATATATATATATAGGAGGCACAGTGGAGTAGTGGATAGTGGCTCAGATTGAGGAATCAGAGAGCTGAGTTCAAATTCCAGTCGAATCCATTACATTCACTTACTTGCTAATACCCTTGGGAAAGGTATTAATTCTCTTCTTCTCCCTCCAGCTATGGATAAATCTTACATAGCAGTCTAGCACTTTTGTCTTCAGTTCTTAAATCATTAGATTTTGACTCCTAAATACTTGACTCAATTCTGAAAAGTACTGCTTTGTTATTCTATTGTACCTTCAAATTTCTGTGTCACACTTTCCATCGGCTATTATTGCACTGCCCAGATTAGGTTTTACCAACTTTTTTTGTGTCACCATCCACTTTCACAGGGAAAAAAATTCTCACCTGTATAGTAAATATTCAAAAACATACCAAAATTGTTTGGTAAAAGTTTGTTACTGGTTCATAAACTGATTTTAAGATGTAGTAAAAAAAATACCAAAGGGAGGTAACAAATAATGCTGATTTATACTGCAGCTACCGTATTAACAAACAAAATAAATCGAACTTGACTATTCAAAACTATAATTGCAAGTGGTGACAAACAATTAAACAATTTTTGTTTATAATTATAAAATTAAAAATAATATACACTACTAGCAACTAATAATAATTCAGCAAATATTTTGGTGGTTCTTATTTTTCCTTTATTTATATCCAAAAATACATTATTTTATTCAAAGAACTATTTGAATGCTAATGACCCTTCTCGAAACTATAGAAAATACCAAAATATTCCTTGTTTGCAGGAATATTTCTATCTTATCTCGGAATGTGACCCATTTATTCCCATTTAGGCTCCTGTTTTTTTTAATGCAGGTTCTTTGCACATCTCTTTTGAAATACCTTTTTAATACTAAAAATCCAATATTGCCCACCAAAATTTTCAGTTGCTCACCATTTTCTGTTCAGTTGCTTACTGCACATCAGCGGGTAATATTGCCCAGATTGGGAAACCCTGGATCAGATAGTTGAATTTCAACATTTGATTAATTTTAACATCCCCTATGGGTAATGTACATCTTGGATTGTCCCTTTTACTCACCACTATGCATTTTATATTCTTACAATTAACAGTTAGTCCTTTCTTCTCACTTTCTTCACTTTATTTTATCATTCTTTTAGTTTTTCTTCTGAATTTATCATCAACATTATATCATCTGCATGGTATATATTGTTAAGGTTTGTTCTACTGATAAAACAAATGCTGGTAGGTAGTCTAATTGTGTTAGACTTGCCTCTCACTGTACAATTTGAATCCATTGAGAAAATACATCCTTGCGACACCTATCTTTCCATTTTAGTGCACCCAACATAAAAGGAACTGTGATAAAATGGTTCATTTATTTCATTGAGAAATCTATATTTATGGGCAAAATATTTCTGTCTGTGTACAGAACAAAAAAGAAAACAGAATTAAAGAAAAGTTAGTAAATCTGCCAGTATTTTGGTTAATCAGAAAACTAGAGATTTTAAGAGTTGTCTAACAACAAAATTAAATATTGTAGAATACTGTTCTCTTTATAAGGATGGATATGAAAATAATATATATTTTCATATTGGTCCTTGTCTGAAATATTATTTTTAACCAAACTTATAAAAAATTCTTGAAAATGTTCTTCAGTAACATCTTTCAATGTCTAGTTGCCCTGCCAGTGATCTCAATGAACTCTTCTTGAATATCATTATATTTGATTTAGGTCTGGGCTTTGACTTGGCAATTCTAACACATTAATATGCATTGATCTGAACACATTACTATGTTTTGATCTAAACACATGAACATGCTTTGATCTGAACACATTAACTTGTTTTGATCTGAACACATTAATATGCTTTGATCTGAACACAATATGCATTGATCTAAACACATTAATATGCATTGATCTAAACACATTAATATGCATTGATCTAAACACATTAATATGTTTTGATCTAAACACATTAACATGCTTTGATCTGAACACATTAACATGCTTTGATCTGAACACATTAATATGCTTAGATCTAAATACATTCCATTATAACTCTGGTTGTATGTTTAGGGTATTTGTTCTGCCGGAAGGTGAAGATCTTCACCAGTTTTAAAACTTTTGCAGACAGTAACAGGTTTTCTTCAAGGATTGCTCTGTCTTTGGCTTCATCTATATTCCCATCAACTCTGACCAGCTTTGCTGTCCCTGCAGAAGAAAAGCATCCCCATCTCATGAGATGCTGCTACCATGGAGGGGGGACAACATGGCTTGTGGCAAACTAAAAATGGGACATTTTATGGCTTTCTTTCAACAAATAGCTTTTCTTCTTGTCACTCTTCCATTAAAGGCCAGATTTGTGGAGTGCATGAATAATAGTCATCCTGTGAACAAATTCTCCCATGTGAGCTGTGTATCTTAACAGCTCCTCCAGAGTCACCCTCAACACCTTGGTTGCTTCTCACCTTGCCTGTCAGTTTAGGTTCCCAACCTTGTCTTAGTTGGCTGAAGTTGAGCTACACTCTTTCCATTTTTGGATGATGGATTTAATAATGTTCCCGTGAGATGTTCAAAACATACAATACATTTTTATAACCTCACCCTGCTATATACTTCTCTACAACTTTATGCTTGACCTGTCTAGAGAGATTCTTGATCTTCCTGATGCAGTTTGTTTGGTAATCTTTGCTATCAAACCTCTGAAGGCTTCCCAGAATAAGGGATATTTAACTGGAGAGTGCAGAATCAAGGATTTTTATTTTTTTCTGTTCTTCTCTTTTACTCAAAAGTAATCACCATTCTATTAACTCTATTGACTGATTCCATGACTTCTGGAGGCAATTAGTTGCACTGGATTTTACTTAGGAGTTTCTTCACATTAAAGGAGGGGATGAATGCTCTCAATACTTTTCAAATTTTTATTTACAAATAATCTTGAAAATCATGTCATATTCCCCTGCCCCACTCAAAATGACGCACTATTTTGGCTTGATCCCTTACATAAAACACCAATAAAAGAAATTTAAACTTGTGGCTGTAATGTAACAAAATGTGGAAAAGTTCAAGGAAGTAGGTGAATATTTATGTAGGGCACTGTAAAGCCTGATCTTGATACTTTTACTTATCTTGGTTGCATACCATATATGCTTCAAATGAACACAAGCTACCCTAGCCTATGTTGATCCAGCCTAGTACTTGTATCTAGCCTAACTTTATTATACAAAATCTAATATGTAAAGTTCAAAGTTTGTGTGTGTGTCAGCTGAAAACTCTGAAAATTAATATAAAGTTGATTTAACTAAGTTATAAATTTAATTATGTTATATTTATAAAAAAAATAAATTGCCTAGTTATTCAATTAAAACACTTGGAAGTTGTAACACCCTCAACACTCAGATCACAGCTTGGGAGTAAAAGGAAGTAAGCAATGTATAAACTGAAATAAGCAATGGTGACATTTTTTAAAAGCATATTTTGAAAATCTAGTAAATATCACAAAATATAATAACATGTCATATTGGAAATAATTACTAAAAAGTTTAAACCTATCAAACTGCTTTGATGATGACAACTTAACTTGTGCAAATCTCTTAGAGAAATGATTGCTTAGAACAGCAAATTAAAGCAAATGAATTTTGCCTACACAAAGCCAGGTACCGCTGCTAGTATAATATTAAATATAAATGAAAGTGGGTGATTTATATGTCATCAAATGAAATTAAATACATGAATAAGAGTTAGAAAAAGAAAAGGAAATATATAAAGCTATAAAGCAGAACAGATAAAAGCCACTGATTGAAATATCAGTGTCTTTGAGGAAATTCCTCAAATTACTCTTTAGCTCCAAATCCTTTAAGCTATTAAATAACCGAGGTAAACAGGCAAGGAAAAATGAGGGCAAATTTCTCAGTAAAAATAAAAGCTTTCATTGTAGTCAGCAATGAAGCAATGCACTCAATGTAAATGCTGGAAAAAATGATACGAATATACACTATCATTCCTTGCATAAGTGTAAGTGCTCTAATAAATTCATAAGTGGTTATTCTTTCTCTTGTTTGATTTAATACCAAAACCCAACTAAAATATTGAAAAACAAAGCATCATTAAATAGATTTTACTTTGATGTTTTCAACTTTCTACAACAATAATTAAAATTTTTTTAATGAAAACTTGCCCAAAACTACCTTCTTAATATTCTGTCCATGATGACTATATTATCTGAAGTTTTGTCATTTTTTTGATCAATTATTAAGACAAGCATCCTCATTTTCATTGTTTGGATCACTATTCTTAGGCTGATTCACTCTCCAGCTCTTCCAATTTTATCTGAAGTGCTAAAGTTTTTCTTGTTTTTTTATTTGTTGTTTTACAGTTTATCAATCTTTTGTAGGTTATTTAATTCCAAAACATATTTTTAGATTGAATAATTCTTTTTTTTTTTTTTTTTTGCAAGTGAATATTAGATTAAGCTTGAGGAGAAGAGATGGATTCATACCTTTCCCAAGGGTATTTGCATATAAGTGAATGTAACGAACCTGACTGGAATTCAAACTTGGTTCTCTGATTTCTCATTCTGAGACATTATCCATTACACCACCTGCACATCTAAGCTTACAACACCTGGTATTCTGAAGCAGTCACTCATCTAGGTACTGTTCAAGCTCAATGATGCTTAACCTTGGTGATCAGAAAAGAACCTGTGTTTCAACATTTTATGGCCATAAATAAAATATTATTTGATGAATTATTGAGACAAGCATCCTCATTTTTATTGTTTTGATTTATGCTGTCCTTCTTGGGATTGTCCAAAGTTGAGATAAAGATTTATCATTATTTGATAATGCATTCAGACTAATATCATCTGTTGTATTCTGTGTATGAAGTAAAAGAGAATGAGTTTAAAAATTAGAAATGAAAAAGAAAAATGGATTTATTTTCTAACAACTCAAATGAATAACATCATCCAAACTAATAAACCACCCACTACATGTTGTTGGAAATAGATTGTATTTCTGAAGATTCACCAATATGTGAAAATCCTCATCAAAAGAAAAATAAACAAATAAATGGTACAGTGTTGAAATTAAACAGGCTTGAGTGACTTCATAGGATCAGTGAACAGTTGCCTTTAAGTATTATATTTTGATAAGGTTCTCACTTCTGATTAGTGGATTGGCACAGGTCATCGCAAAAAAAAAAAAAAGAAAAGGTAAAAGATAAATCAATGCCATTTATTGTTGTGGTAAACCCTCTTACAGTATAATGAACTCTTCCTTCTCTCATAAATACAAACTGCGAGAGTTGGATGGGAGCGCAGAGTGTGAAGTGGAGTGAAGTAGTAGACGCAGTGCTAATCTACACTATTGTTTTGTATATATCTTCAATATACTTTTTTCAACCGACCTTCGTCTTCTGCGTCTTTCTTTCTGGCCCCTAAACAGGCCACAACATTTATTAAAGTAGATGTATCAGGATTGAGAAACTTTTTGTTTGTCGATGAACTGAAATTTAGAAGTGAGGGATTTCCTTATAAAAGAAGTTTTTCACTGAAATTTTTCATTAAGAATTTTTGCCTCTTAACAAACACATGTGTCTGAAACTGCTAAGAACAAGGAAGCAAAAAACAATACACATCTCTCTCTCTCTCATTTCCTCTTCCTGCTTCACTAACAAGTAGTCAATAAGATCTCTCTTCTATTCAAAACAGTCACTTTAGACTATATGCATTATGGTGGTTAGTACCATGCGAAGAAACCTTTCTCCAGGTAAAAAGATATCTAATTTGATATTCAGTAATAGGCAGAGACAGGTCAACTTTAGTATATTGGTCCCAAGAACGCCATGTAAATGAATGTGATGATGCAACTGACTCATTCCTCTTCCAAACAATGATAATACTGTCAGTGTCCTAGGCAAAGATTCCATCGGCTACATCCTGATATTTTAACCATTACATAGAATATCACTTGGGACAAATTCAAACTTTCAAATCTCTATAAAAGACCAGGATATAGCCAATGGTCTTGATAATGACTGAAATGGTTGAAAGCACTTAAACAAATTCAACAAAACCTGAACTTCAGGCAGTTTATCCACCATTTTGATCCTGATATAGAATGTCCTATTTAAAAATTGGAAAAATATAGTAAAAAATTAAACAGACAGATTTTATTGGTTGAATTTAATCAAAATTGTTTAGCTGAATACTTGCTACCTAAATATATATTTAGAAAAACAGTATGACAAATTGGAAAAAAGGTTTTGTGATGTGTTTCATCCATTAGGATTTCATTGGACTGGGCTTTGTTGATGTTGTCATGTCTACACATGTGCACAAAACAAGAGATGCTGGTAGTTTCAAAATTTTTAAAAGAATAGTTTAAAAAAAAAAAAATTTTTTTTTTTAAAATAATATTTTTTCAGTCTAGCCAAAATCATTTGTATTTTTTTCTTTTTCTCTCCATCACCTTTCTCCCTATCTCATATTGTGACAAAAGAAAATCTACCAAGAACAGTGATATATTGTAAGAGCTCGGATGCAAATTTACCATGGCTGAACGAGCAATCAAGGTACTTTCCAGACATTTTCATCTTAATGAATTATTTTCTCTTTTAAACAAATTAACACTCCCTATTTCAAAATTATGATCAGTTTTGTTATGGTGAACAACCAATGTGTTTTGTGTGTTGTTTTTTAAAATGTCCCTTTTGTGTTCATATAGTCTTTTGTTTAAACTTCTTGAGGTTTCTCCAATTTATTAATTCTGGAAATTCCTGCACTTGATGGAGTAAATTCCTCCTTCAAGTTTTGGCTTGTTGTTTTGTTTTTTATTGAGTAAGTTTTTGATTATTTTAGATGGAATTGTGACAAATTTTATGTTGAGTTTAGATAAATTCTTTTTGGCTGTAGTTGTGATAGAGTTAGTGGATAGAATAATATATTTTTTTGATTTGTTGGGTTTATCAGGAAGGACAGCTCTTCTATTTTAGAATATTTTATGACTCTTTTGTTTTACTTTGAATATGAAATAAGTTATTGAAGGGTCTTGAATGTATTTTCAATATATTTCTCTTCTTTGGGCTGGAAATTCTGAGTGCTATTAAATAGAATTCAATGACTATTCCAGATTTTATTTTGTTGCTGTGATGGAAATAGAAGTTTATTAAGTCATTGTTATTGGTTGATTTTTGGTGGACACTAAGTTTTAGGCTATTGTCAAATCAGTGTGACATGATATCTACGAAAAGTAAAGTATTGCTTTTTTCTAAAACTTTTTTTCCAGTTTGTCATAATATTTTTCTAAATACTGTTTGTTGATATATAAAATTATACAAAAAATATATATATATATATATATATATATATATATATATATATATATATATGAGAGAGAGAGAGAGAGAAAGAGAGAGGCACAGTAGAGTAATGGATAGTGGCTTGGATTAAGGAATCAGAGAGTTAAGTTTAAATTTGAGTCAAATTCATTACATTCCCTTACGTGCTAATACCCTTAGGAAAGGTGTGAATCCAACTCCCCCTCCCCAGCTTTGAGAGGCAGAGGCACAGTGGAGCAATGGATTACAGCTCAGATGAAATAAGAAAGCCAAGTTTGAATTCATTACATTCATTTATTTGATAATACTTTCTTCCCCGACACAGCTATGGGTAAATAGCAGGACAGACTGGGTTCTGCCTTGAGTGGCAACTGGTCTAGGAGAAGGACAACTCTGAATTCAAAATCTGCTTGACCCTCATATATCAAAAACGACGGAAACATTATAAATATATATATATATATATATATATATATATATATATATATATATATATATATATATATTTACACACACACACACACCCATGCACATATAAGAAAAATATGATAAAATCTATATATTGAACTAATACTGGGTAGTTAAATGATTGATAAATGGAAAAAACTCCAATGTTATGTGCTTTGTCCCTTTAAAGGATATTTTCAGACTACTTATTTAATCTGAAGAAGTCTTTTTGAAAAAATGAAGCACATGACATAGGAAGTTTTCATTTTGTCATTTTCACTATGTTTAATCATTAGAGCAATACAAAAGTTTGGTCATATTTGATTAGTAAATCCTACCTATGATATCAAGGTGCACAGAAAAAGCAACATGGACAAAAATCTGTAATTCAATTTTTTACCATAACTGCAAGAAGCATAATATGGAAATTAATTTAGTTCCCTTCACATAAACCCTGTGTCGTTTTTATTTATCCAAAATTATGAATCTTAATCAAATATTGCAAAGCAAATGTTAAGTAGTAATGAAATTGGAACAGAAAGAAATGATTATAATGTTTCCAGTCTTTTTGACAAGGGAGATAACCTGGAAAACGGTGAATTGTTTACCTATCAGCAACTTGTGTTGCCTACTGGTGCAAAAATTTCCCAAAAATATGGGAACATTTAAATGTACACATGACAGAACAAACATGCAATTAAAAACAGAAATCTCTGGTGGCGCCTCCTAACTTGCAAAACAAGATAACATGGATATTTTTACATGCTGTCGTTAAATATGGCAAGTAGCTATTAAAACAATAAACCCTGTATATCAACTTTCAATGTTACAAATTCTATTAAGCAAGGACCTTCCCACCAACTGATAGTTTGGCACTAGACAGCCATTTAACTCTTTAATAGTCAATATATTCACATACAGATGTATGAATAGTATTATTGGTGCAAATTAATTTATTCACTTTGCACTAATGCCTGTGGAAAAGGCATAAATCTATCTTCCTCCAGCTATGGGTTGAATAGTAAGGCAGATTAAACTCCTTTGCCTTGGGGTGGCAACCAATCTAGAAAATGGAAAATTCTTAATATAAAATCAGCCTGAAGAGAGAAATGGTCTCCATCAGGCTATCCAATCCGCGACACACCACTATTGCTGCTATGGCAATATTGTAGTTGTAAAGAAAAGAAGAAAAAAAAAGACTGTCAACTTATAGTAGCAATAAATGTCTGCAATAGATTTCTTCTGTCTCTCGACCACAACACTTGTAGCCAAATCACTGTTCAAACGATAGTCTGTCGTAACAGTCCAACAGGCAACATAGAAACGACAAAATGGGGTCACACATCCAACCTTCATTTCTCACCAACAAAAACGCGTGTTCGGCCACCAAGCCCAGAAAATCTAAATGCGCACAAACGAAAAACAACGGCGTTTGTTCACCGAGAGATCTTTCTGATTGGTCACGCCATTCAGGGGAGGGAAGAACATTAGCATAGATTCTGGTCCTTAAAGTAGATTTTTGCTAACTACTTTTTGGTAATTTTTCTTAGGCAGATCACACACAAAACACACACTCTTTTTCAAGGTAGTTGATTATCTCTTTCACTACAAATATATGTGATGCTACCATAACCGTAATGGCTTACAGGACTCGTGACATAATGAGACATCCATATGCTTAAAAAAATCTACAATACTTACATAATCTTCACTTTCTATTAGCTCCATTTTCATTCATATAAAAAGAGACTTGTGTTGAGGGAATCTTAGTAGAAAATAAACTAAATATTTACTTTTATTTCAACCATTGTGCATTCTATTTAAATCAATGTTTACTATCTTTATATATTTTTGTTCACTCAATACAAGACCCATGAGCCACTCAAGGTAGTGGGTTACTGAATAAAGGAAGAGGTAAGAAGTGCATATTATGAGGAT